ATAATACATCAATTTATTTCATCTCAAATATTTCTTCATTTTGCCCTCAAATAATCCTTATGATAATTGCATATGTTAAAGAGTTTGCATTAAGGGTAATTTCAATGCACATTATTGATAGGAGTATTTTAGGACAATGTTAATTTATTACAATTAATCAACTTAACTAATTTTTTAATTTTTTTCAAATTAATTTTCTAGCTCTTAAATTAAGAATTAGAGGTTGTGTCAATAGTTTATTTTTTGGCAGGGCTGGGAATCTGTATTTTAAAACAATAAGGTCGTCCTATTTTCTTTTTCTTTTTCATTTTTTAAAATTTTCCTTAAACAAAACAAAAACTAACAGTGAAAATTGAAAAAGAAGAGAGTCCATATGAGACTCCAAAGGATAAAATTATAGTACGTAAACTACAGTAAACATGTATTATGTAACACGCAATAATAGAAGTACGAACCAAAATTTAAATTTTTATTAGAAGTGTCCATATTTAGTATTTAACATTACTTTAAATGTGATTGCTTTCAATAAGAGGAAACCTATATCTAGGAGGGAAAAACACACAATAATACAGGACACCAACATACATATTATGTTGCCATCTTGGGGCCTATTTATATATACTCTTCCGGTCATTAATATAAAACCTATTTAACTAATTTGATTAGATTAAGAAAGTTAGGTAAGTTAGTTAATTATAAAAATATGATATATTTTTTCTAAAATACTATAATCATTTTCTTTAATATCATCTCTTCTTCTTATACTTGATTATGGTTGAGGGAGTATGTATAGGAGTAATTTAGAAAAAATTAATAAATATAAGAAATAAGTCTTATATTTAGGATCAAAATTAACTCAATAATTGGGTCCTATATTAAGAATCAGAGGAGTATTATTTAAATATTACAAATAAGCTAAGAGAGGCAACAATTATTAATATTGAGATCGATGAGACACAAGACAACACACAACACCGCCAGCAAATTAAAAGCCAGATGCGTATTACTCTTCCGATCTTTAATATAAGACCCATTTAACTATTTTGATTAGATTAAGGAAGTTAGGTAAGTTAGTTAATTATAAAAAATGTTATGCGTTTTTCTTAAAACACCATAATCATCTTTTTTAATAACCTCTCTCCCTCTTCTACTTGATTATAGTTGAGGAAGTATCCATAGGGATAATTTAGAGAAAATTGATAAATATGAGAAATGGGTCTTATATTTAGTACCAAAACCAACTCAATAATTGGGTCTTATATTAAGGAGTGGAAGAGTATTACTATCTCAGGGCATATTTATATTCATAAATAAGCCGAGAGAAATGAAACGAGACTTTATGTAGTAATACCAGCAAAGGCCAGATATACAGTGTCACTTTCTCAACACAGAAGAGAGTGGGATTCAAAGGATAGGAGGCGGAGCATAAGTCGGAGATGGCAATGAGCGCAAAATAGGGCGGTTATTCGTCTTGAGCCAGCTACTGCACCGAGAACTGTATCTCCTCAGATAGGCCGCCACCGACGGTGATTTCCACGAAAGCCTGGCTTGGACCCTCGGCTGTCGGAGAAGACAGCGATGGCGCAAACATTGAGGCAACGGCGAGTGCCCTTGAAGACGTCGAGGTTGCCCCGCTCGAAGTCGTCGTGATTGAGTCCCATTAAGCCCTAGTATTTGAGGTTGCCCAGGTTCAAGCTTCCGCCACCGGCTTGGGAAAATTAACATGAGGCTAATGGTGGAGTCCTTGCCGGCAGTAAGCATATTTCTTGTCTTAGATCTCACAAGGTACCCGCACTCCTCCTCCTGCTCTCACACACACACACTCACACACACACACACACACACAACACTAAGTGGAAGGAAAAGCTTGAAACTAATGATGGATCAACGTAGCACAAGAGGGCGATCAATTACTTAAGGTAGCCGTTGCAGCGAAGCTGATGAGTGAGAGAACGAAGACAAGAGAAGACACTGCAATAACTCTGAGAGCCATTTGTTGAACAGTTTTGCGACGCCACGTGCGGATGGATGGATGGATGGATGGTGAGACAACCTACAGGGCATTGCCTTTATATAGGGCCGCAAACCGTAATGGTCCCAAAGGAATTGGGCCAACCCTAGCACACGCGCCTGGTAATGCAAGGACGAGTCAGACCGTGTGGAGCATGCTGCAGTATAAAATGGACAAAAGGGTTGTAGGATTACGGTGCAATCACCACACCCGAAATATCTTTTTGGATATATCTAGCACTTTAAAATATTTTATTATACATTTAGCACCTTTTGTAAAATATTTTTTTGGTGCATCTAATACTATAAAATATTTTTCTCAATACATTCAGTATTAAAAAAATATTTTTTAGTGCATCCAGCACTAAGACAAAAAAAAAATGTCATGGTGCTGGACACACCTAAAAAATTAGGATGCTAGATATATCACAAAATATTTCAGGGTATTAGATATATCTGAAAAATATTTTGAGGTATTGGATGCGTCTTAACACAAGTGTTATATATAAATAGACAAAAATAAGGAATTCCCATACAAATATATATTGTTATTTGCAAGTCAAGTGTTATCAAAACTTAGTAAACCATAAGAACCAAACCTGATTTGATATTTAATAATTTCAAGCTTTTTTTATAGGATTCTCTCTCTATCTTATATATTTTTTTTATTAAAATTTTTTAACCACCCTTCTCTAACTTTTTTAAATGGATATCATTAAAATATTTTATCCCCTCTCTTTTGCTCCGATTCCCTTACAACATTGGGTACAAGTCGTCACAGCCTTATGCGCGAGAGGAGAGACTGGGCCAAGGGAGTTAATTAAATACAACAATACATATTATTTATATGCAACAAAATATCACCTCGATCTGTACGTGTCATTCTTTATTCAAAGAAGCCAAATGCGCGTTTTAATCAATTGATGGAAAGAGATCGATAATGGCTTCTTGTTCAGAGCAACAAGCATTGTGGATTCCTCAGCAACCTAAAACTACTAAATTTTAACAGTAAGGCCCCAGTACAATTTTCTATTGTAAACTGTGAATATATGTTCGTAAATTAGGTTAACCTACAAAGTTTCAAACGAAAAGAGCATCCGGATTCTATATGCAAAAGAGTGCTACCTCCAATCATTAATGTTACATCACATATTAAGAAATTTAAACAACAAATTAGATCTTATATTAAGAAATTTAAATTATAAACTAAATTTTATATTAAAGACTAGATCATCGAGTATAAGAGAAGATATAACTCTAAGCCATCCTTTTTGACTCTTTTTTTTTCCCAATTATCTACTCACTCAACTTAAGTTTTCTAATTTATTGAGTTGACGACCTCCATGAATTAATTTGTTCTGAGTTGAAACATACAAAGAATGACTTGTTCTAAGTCTAAAAGTGTAATTCTACGAAAAACACTTTGACTCCATAAATCCACTTGCTCTTTGAAGTGTCTAATTGACACAAATGTGCCAATTCACCTACACACAACAATATGATTAGATAGAATCATTGTTTCAAAGGATAAAATCATAGGTGATACCCATGTTATTACAATTCAATTAAATTCACACAATTTAATCACTTTCACCCAAAAATCACTTGCAACGTCATTTTGCACAGTTGGTACAAATTAATTAAAATGGAGTACTAAAAATTCAGAATTAGATAAAGTAATGAAAATGGAAAATATTAAAGTCAAAATTACAAAAATTGGAAAGCTCCGAAATAAAATTCAAATATTAAATCAATACTCAATGAAAAATTTAAAAAAAATAAAAATAGACTTTTTAAAATTTATATAAGGGGTTGTATGAAAAGGAGAAGAGAGAATAATTTCCCCTCCCCCTCCCGACGCATAAATTATTGGAAAAGCTAAGTTTACCAAAGATGATCTTGATTCATATTGATTCAGATAATGAAAATATATTCAAATAATTTAAGAGTTGCACTAGAATTGGGCTCCTCTAAAAAAAAAAAATGAAGTTAAAGAACGGATGAGAGTAGGGGAGAAGGGAATCTCTATTTCCCTTTTCTTCCATTTCCTTTTACTTTCCATCTCCACCATAAGATCACAATTTCAACGGTCTATATTTCATATTCTATAAATTATGAATAAAGTGATAATTTTTAAAAAAATATATTAAATAAAATTAAACTACTAAATTTTAGCCATGATGATTTAAAACAATAATAAAAAATATTTTATAAAACTATTTTATACGAAATGAAATGTGAACCATTCAAATTGTAATTTTAACGGTTAATATGAGAAGTAAAAGGAAATGGAGGGGGAAGGGAAGTGAAGATATCCCTTTCCCATGGGAGTAGAGCCTGAGAGTCATCACTCATCACGGATAATCATAATTTGTTGTCCTCTACCTCTACCATGCGGACTACCTTTCCATCCTTGTTTATGTTATCTGAAAACGAATAACAACAAACTGTTCGCTTTCGACTAAAGAAGAAACTGATTTGCTTTTTTTCCCCCCTTACCACATGATTCTTATCAAATCTCAGTCGCTTAAATTTGATATGAACAGTCACGATTTAATTTTTTATATTTTTATTTTTAAATTTTTTTAATTGGAAGATAATCCTACAAAACGTAATCTTTTCATACTTTCTATCTTGTTATTTTCAGTCCCAGTCCCATTAATCCCTGACTCTGTAAAGCCTGAAGAGTTTTTAAAAACTAATTTTTGTATTTGAAAATCATTAGGTGAAAGTTTTAAATCTATAACATTAAAATTATATCTAAATGGCATAGATTTTACCATAACGATGAGCACCAAAAATAATTTCGGAATACACTTCCAGAATCAGACAGAAACAAACCTGAAATTCCTGTAGCAAAAAAAAAACATGACGCACAATGGTCAAAAGCACTCATTTTGATAATTTCGAAAGACTCATGCCCCCCTGTCGTCCGGGTGAAGGGGCAGGAAATGTTGTTGTTTGTTTGGTCAGGGGTGGGAATCTGTATGTTAAAACAAAAACGTATAAAATAATAGTCAACATATATTATTACGCAACACATGCATAACACGGTACACCAACAAGGGCCAGATACATATTGCTACCTCAGGGCTTATTTATTATTATATATATCACATAGAGGCCGTGAGAGGTAACAATCGACAGAAGACACAACACATGCATACCAGCGAAAGCCTGATACATATCACAACCTCAGGGCATATTTATATATACTCATAAATAAGCCCAGAGATGTAATGATTATTAATATTATTATTGGAACGAGACACACAGCAAACATTAACTAATTACTCCCTCAGCACAGAAGAGAGAGCGGGCTTCATCGGATAGAAGCTGGAGCATGCGTCGACGGTGGCAGAGAGGGGATAGGGCCACTCGTCGTCAGCCAGCCACCGGTTCACCGGGAACGATACCTCCTTAGATGCGTCGCCGCTGACGATGACTTCCACGTAATCCAAGTACCACCCTGACTTGTACCCTGAGTTGTTGGAGGTGACGGTGATGGCGCAAACATTGAGGCAGCGGCCACTGCCCTCGAAGACGTCCACGTTGCCCCTCTCGAAGTAGTCGTGGTTGGATCCCATGGCGCCCCAGTCTTCGAGGTTGGCGATGGTCAAGCTATTGCTGGAATGGGACATTAACTGGAGGCTAATGGTGGCGTCCGTTCCGGCACTAATCCTACCTCCTGTCTTAACTCTCACAACGTACTGGCACTTCTCCTCCTGCTCATCCATGCATGCATGCAAACGCACAAACACGTAAGCAATAAGTACCTAGAAGGAAATTAAAAGCTTGAGACTAATAATGGACCCACGCAAGAGAGCAATTACTTACAGATGCAGCCATTACAGCGAAGCTGACGAGTGACAGGAGAAAAACAACACGAGAAATGCAACTTTGAGAGCCATGGTGTTTGTTTAATAATCAGTTTGTGACGCGCTGATCGATGCGGAAACAAACCTAGATGCATGCCTTTATATGGGGCAACATGCTCTAATGGTCCCAAAGGAATTGGGCCCAAGTCATGTACACGCGTCCGGTGAAGCAGGAAGGAGGAAGAAAACAGTATGACACATGGACAAAAGGGTTTGGTATGATTGCAATGACTCCTTTCTCTTAAGATTCGCCTATGGCATCCCTTTTTTAATATAAAAGCTAGTTAACTAATTTAGATAAATTAAGAAAGTTTTTTGAGTTATGTATTTATAATAAATAGGTGTTGTTTTCCTTAAAATATCCTTACTAACCATATGTATTAATTAGAACTACCATTTAATGGAACATTTAACATGTGCAACGATTACAATGTTTACTTCAAAAAAAATAGATAAATATGAGAAATAAAGTAGTATATTTAGGATCAAGTTGAAAGTTAAAATAGCTATTATATTAAAGACTAGGGATAGTATATTCTTTCTGCCATAGCTCTCAGCCTTTTTTTTCCTTCCTATTTCCTTTTGCCGAAACAACCTGACCTTTATAAAGGGAGACACGACATATGCGCGGTGATAACTGAGTTTCACTCTTTAGATCCAATTCATTTTATTATGCCCTAAGCAAAATATGATTTGGTAATAGTATGTGGCCCATGATGATCTAACCAGTCGCCACACCAACGGAGTTATAAACGCGACATGAGATATTGTTTATATGCAACAAAATATCAATGGTGAGTTCGGCCGAGTTTGAACTTTGAAGTGTACGCTAATTGAGTTGACCGCCATCTATGTGGCGTCCGAGATGACTCCTTGTGGGCTTCTTGCTTTGTCAACTATGAAAGGCCCCCCACATTGCCCGCGCACATAGATATACATACACAGTAGTACTCAAACATATTTTCCGTTTTATTTAAAAATATTTTCAACATATTTTATTTAAATCTTATTAATTATGTCCCAAAAATTAATAAATTTTTAACTCTATTCCTATTTAATAATAATTATAGGCTCATTTAAAAATTAATAATATGAATCATAACTAAGATAAAAAAAAAAAACTCTCTGCAGTGGAATTCAAGGTAAAAGAATTTGTTGAAATTTGTTAGAGATAATAATCGTATAAAAATATATGTTTATTTATGAATAACATGATATGAATGAGAAAGAATGTACCTGCAAAAATAACTCTCTCTCAACAGAATTGGATTAATATATCAGATACTATTGGATATTGAAAATATACTTATAAAAATAGTTAAGTAGGACAATATACTAGCACTGGTCTGTGCTGAATCCGGGGTTATTGAACATAAATACCCCGAACAAATTTAAATGATGCCTTTGACTTTGCTTATTCAAAATATTTACATTTAATTTATATTTGATTATCAATAACAAATTCGTTCGGATACTGCTATCGGACGGAATCATTGAGCTAGATTGTCATAGTTTCCCAACTGGGCAGTGTTTCGGAAATGCCCGATTTCATCAATTGATGGGAATATATCAGTAATGGCTTCCTTGTTCACATCAACAAGTGTTGTTAATATTTGGGCTTAACTTTATCTATCTCTAAATATTTAGGACCATAAGAGTATTAGATCATTTAACTAATGCATTTAATCTACTGAAAGTATTTAATGAGGTCTTACATTAAAAACCGGAGAAGTATTACATTATTTTAATAATAAAGCCCTGATACAATTTTCAATTGCAAGTTGCGGATGAGTGATCATAAATTACGTTTGCATATAAAAAGAATATTCGATCTGGTCTCTCGCTTCCAAGCGAACCCGTTTGTTGTGCTATGACAACTTATAATCTTTTTTTAATAATTTTTGGTCTTTTTAGTTTCTAAGTATGGATTAGAAGCAGTAAACAACTATGATTTTATATAATCATGATTTTTATAAGTGACTCTAATTAAAAGTGAAGTTGATTAATTTTTATTTTTAGTTGAATACTTTTTCCTAGGAGTGACTTTGAGAATATTAGTTATGTTTAGATTCGATTTATTAAAATCACAAATAGATATGTAATTATCAAAAAACAATGAGAGTAGATGGGGGAAATATAATTTAATATGTTATTTGAATATAATTATAATTTAACAATTATTATCAACAAGGGTATATAGAAGAAATTCTTGTCGCTGAAGCTTTATCAGGATTTTTCAATCACAAAAATAATTACTACTAACTTGTATGTGCACAAATGACGATTGAGATTTCAAAAAGTTTAACCAAACAAGATAAATGAACTTCACAATCACTTGTTTGGATTGAAAATAACTGCTTTATATTAACCAAATAGACACTAACTGCAAAATATTCGACGGAGTTATCTGTTATGACGGGCAAGTGGCCCCACCCGAAAGGGCCTAATATTTTTTGGGGCCTTTTTTTTGGGCTGGGCTAGAGTTTTTTTTTTACCCGGCTTGGATGGGTGTAGCGGTGACATTATGAATACTCCTAATTATTGCTAAACACAAAAAATTATCCTAAGTTTTACCGTTGGCGAGGTTTCTATATACTCCAGATTGCAGGGATATTGAGAGAATAATTAGATGAACAATCCAATGAATTATTCATTTATATTAGGATTAAGGTGTAATTTTAATCCCAATTTTATTGCTCAGGTGTAATTTTGTCTCTATTCTTTTTAGTGATACAATTTTGACGCTGATCTTTTTTTTGGGTGTAATTTTGACTCCCTTTAGATGCTCAGGGTCAAAATTACATTCAAAGATTAAAGGCAAAATTGCACACTAAAAAAAAAAAAGAAACAAAGTTACACCTGAAAAATAAGATCAGAGGAAAAATTATACTAGTAAAAGATTAGGAGCAATATGGTACAAAATGGCACCTTATCCCTTTATATTATTTCACTTAAAAAGCATCTTTTACATCCTAATTTTCACGTCAGTTATACGTGAGAGCAACACAAGAATATTTTTAAGAATGATAATTTTTAATTTGTAAGGGAAATTGAGCGGAATGAGTTTTTTATGCTGGATTTTTGAGAAGCTAAAAATTTAATTTCTTTTTATGGCAGGGAAAGGTGGCTCAAAGATAAAGTGGCAAACTTGATAACAAGGGTATGCATATAGTTCACAGACTTAGCCCTCAGTGTCACCAATGGGGGCTCACTTGACGATAACGAAGTTTTTGTTGCCGTTGTTTGGTTGCGAATCCTGGTCATTCTCTTAGTATCATATTTAATTTCTTATATTTTTATCATTGTCAAATAATATTATTTTTATTACAAAAAATGGAAAAAATTATGATAATATAATAGTTACTTAACTGGTTTTTTTTTTACTCAACTTATGATTTTTAACGATCCTTTTGCAGTACATATTGAGTCACATGCCCGTTTAGTGAAATTTTACCTTATTATTATATTTCTATTTTACTATACAAGAGAAGTAACTCTTATCCATCCTTTTTAACTTTTTTCCAATTATCAACTCACTCCTGCAAGTTAATGGTTCACAACAACTTAATTTTTCTAATTTATTGGGTTAATGATTTTTATGGATTAAGGGCTTTGGAGTAACTTATAAGTAACTTTTTAATCATCATTTAAAAATATGATACAAGTATGTAAGAGAAATTTTATCTCGGTTTATATGAAAGGTGGATATAAGTGACTTTAAACCTGATGAGAAACAAGATCTAAGTTGTTCTGAGGTGAAAAATATAAGGATTGACTAGTTCTTAGTTTAAAATTGCAATCATTCTACGGAAAACATTTTGACTCAATAAATCCGCTTGCTTTTGAAGTTCCCGATTGATATAAATGCGCCAATTCACATAAGGGGGAATCACATGTTGCAAAGGATAAAATCATAGGGGTTGCACATTTAAAATAGGTTAATACTATTTCTGGTTCTAATTATAAGACCTCGTTTGTAGTTTATAAATAAGGTCTTATTTTTTGTCCTTGAAATTCAAACTCATTTTGATTTGATCTCTCAAATTTCAAATTAAACCTGTAATTTTAGTCTTTAAAATTTAGTTTGTTTTAAAATGTTAAGATCTGGAGGTAAAATAGTGTTGAAATCTATTAAAAGTGTCGTAAACAGCATTAAATTGATTACGTGTACGCACCAAATGAAATTAAGGAGTCGACGAGAGTAGAGCCTGTGGATTAGAGCTGTCAATAAGGGCTAGCCCGGCCCTAAAGGGCTAGCCCTTGAAGGGCCAGGGCCTAAAAGGGTCGGCCCTTTAAAGCCCACATGCTTTAAAATTATCTAATTATTAAAGCCCGGCCCTTAGGCATGCGGGCTCAGGGCTTAAAAGGGTTGGCCCTCTTATGTTATTTTTTAAAATTTAAATTCTTTTTAATTATTTTAAAATAAAAAATAAAACAACAAAACTTTTAAGATTTTTTATTCAAATTATAAATATAAGTAAAATAAATTAGTGGTGTATAGAAAAAAAAAATTAAATGCCAATAAACTATTGTCCAAAATAAAAAAAATCAAAATCTAACAAAACACGAAAAACAGAAAGATAAAACTTAGCAGTTAAATATTAACAATATCAACATAATTATTATCTTTATCTTCATCTTCATCAGTATCATCAAGATCAGCAATATTTGATTGTTTTTTACTACAAGTGAGCTCTTCTTCAGTGATAAAAATATTAAAGTTTTTGTCTTCATTTACCTTATATAAAATAAAACTATGCAGTAGTTATAAGTACAAATAAGAACCTGAACATTTGTTCAAATAAGAAAAGTTTTACACTTTGTTAAGATATGTAAACTGATGGTAAATGAAAATCTACTAGCTATTATGGTGATTAAAATGTTAAGAATATCAGTTACCATTCTTGAAAGAATTGAAAATTGATTTTAATTGTTCTTCCACAAGTCCAAGACATTTAATTCGTTTCAATTATCTAGCTTGAGTATTGACTCTTCTAGGTATTTTTCTAATTTAAACTTATTCATAAAAGACTAATCTATAACTTTATAAATATATTGATAAT